ACAGAAACATACCAAGGGAACATGAATCAAATATGCACTTTTATTCATTTACAATAAACTCATAAAGTACATCATTCTAATTGAAGCTAAGGGCATACAAAACTCTTTAACACCTCCGTGGTTTCCTAGGGCTGACCGGCTACTACCGCAAGTTCGTTCACAATTATGGACTACTGGCAGCCCCGCTAACAAGTCTGCTCAAGAAAAATGCCTTCCTCTGGGACGGTACAGCTGAAGCAGCCTTTGTAAAATTAAGAGAAGCCCTCTCCTCTACACCAGTTCTACAGTTGCCAAACTTTGATCTTGAGTTCACAGTGGAGTGTGACGCCTCCGGCACCGGCATAGGCGCGATACTATAGCAACAAGGGCACCCAATCGCCTTTTTCAGCCGCAAGCTGGCCGACCGCCACATTAAGTTGCTCGCCTACGAACGAGAACTTTTTGGCCTAGCTAAGGCAGTGCAGCACTGGAGGTCGTACCTGTGGGGTAGATCCTTCATAGTCAAGACGGGCCATTACAGCCTCAAATATCTGCTGGAACAACGGCTCACCACCTCGCCACAGTAGCATTGGGTCAGCAAACTCCTTGGGTTCAACTTCCGGGTGGACTACAAGGCGGGGGCCTTGAACCGTGCCGCAGATGCCCTGTCCCGTCGTGACGACGACATGCTACTCCATGCAATCTCACAGCCCCGAGCCTCCCTGTTGGAAGACATTCGGAATGAACTGCCACAGTCACCCGAATGGAGCGATCTGCTCAGGACAATACAGGCGGGAACGGCCAACTCCAATTGGAGCACACAGGACGGGTTGGTACTGTACAAAGGCAGAATTTATCTTCCAACTGATTTCCCCTTAATTCCCTTCGTTATCTCTAGCATACACAACGCCACGCATGAGGGTATCCAGAAAACACTGCACCGCATCCATGCAGATTTCCATTGGCGGGGCATGAAGGCTTTGGTACGGGACTTCATCCAGAACTGTTCAACGTGCCAGCAGCAGAAGTGGGAAAACTTGCACCTAGCAGGCCTGCTCCAACCCCTCGCCCTCCCCACTCAGATCTGGGCAGATATTTCCATGGACTTCATCGAAGGCTTACCCAAGGTGGGAGGGAAATCGGTGATATTTGTAGTAGTGGACCGCTTCTCAAAGTATGCCCACTTCCTTCCCTTATCTCACCCCTACAGTGCGGTCTCAGTGGCCCACGCCTTCTTCGGCCACATCTTCCGATTACATGGGCTACCCGAGTCCATCGTAAGTGACAGGGACCCGATCTTCACCAGCGCCTTCTGGAAGGAGCTCTTCCGATTGCAGGGAACAGACCTCGCCTTCTCCTCCGCCTACCATCCACAGACAGACGACCAAACAGAGGTGGTGAACCGGACAATAGAGATGTACCTCCGCTGCCTTGTGGGAGACCAGCCCAGGTGCTGGGTGGAGTGCCTTCCGTGGGCAGAATACTGTTATAACACGTCCTACCACTCCTTCTTTGGCATGACTCCCTTCCGGGTGGTATATGGCCGAGACCCTCCCCGCCTCCTATCGTACGAGCCAGGCTCAACACGGCTGGAAGAAGTCGATCGCAGCCTCCAAGATCACGACGCCCTCTTGGCCAAAGTCTCCTTGCGCCTACAGCAGGCACAGGCGCGCATGAAGCACGCCTACGATCAGCACCACCGCGAAGTCACCTTCGAGCCGGGACAGTTCGTTTGGCTGAGGCTCCAACCCTACCGACATCTCTCCCTCAGGCGTCGAGGACCCCCTAAGCTGGCCCCAAAATTTTACGGGCCCTTCAAGGTTCTCAGGCAGATCGGGAAGGTTGCCTATCAACTCGAGCTACCAGAGCANTTTACGGGCCCTTCAAGGTTCTCAGGCAGATCGGGAAGGTTGCCTATCAACTCGAGCTACCAGAGCACAGCAGAATCCATGACATCTTCCATGTGTCCCTCCTGAAGCCTTTTACAGGGACTCCGTCGGACCAAGTGCCTCCTCTACCACATCTAAAGGACGGCAGACCCATCCTCCTACCCCGGGCTCTTGTACGATCGCGCATCAATCAGGGTACCTTCGAGGTTCTAGTAGAATGGGATGGATTACCATCAGCTGAGGCCACCTGGATCCCCTGGACTGATCTTCACAGCACCTACCCCGAACTCAAGTTTGAGGACAAGCTCGTAGTACAGGAGGGGTGTGATGTTATGGACACACCGCCCAGCAGCACACTGCGGCATAGTCATAGGCAGTGGCACGCATAGCAGGCCGCACCACCCAGCAATGCGCAGCACGCACCGTCCGGCAGCGCGCAACACGCGTCGCACGGCAGCAGCACACACCGCATGGCAGCAGCACTGTGAGACGCGCGCACCACAAGGCAGCAGCAGTAGGGCAGGACCCACATGACAGCTCATCAGGGTGGGTCCGCACTTATCTTACCACGTTAGTTCTGCTCGCCAAACTCGCCGCCAGCTACTCCATTCCTTATCCTTATCTTATCTTATCTTAAGTAAGAGTTGTATTACTGTTAGGAGTAGGTAATTAAGAGTTTTGAGTTCAAGTTGGAGTTTGAGTTTAATTAGGAATTTCCTTCTATAATCTCCTATTTAAGGAGCCACGAATTGAAATAAAGGCATTCAGTTTTCAACCAAGAAAGGTGTTAGGAGAGTTTGGGTGATCTCTTGGACAAATCACCCACGCGATTGTCACAATAGGGTCTGTACACAAGGGTAAGGGCAAGGGAAGATGGGAGTCTCTCCCGGTGGACCGACCTCTGACGAGATCCTATGCGCGGGCCCATAACATTGAGGCATGATGATTTAACTTCTGTTCCACTTCTTGAATGCCAATGATAATTAATTAAATATGCTGACTCTAGGTACCGACTCGTACATCAGTGCATGCATAATCTTTTCCTCTTCCTTTAAACACTTTTCTCCAGAATCCTGAGATGCTTTTTCTTGCTGGTTACTATTGATGATTTGAGTGTATGGGTGGGTAGGGTTTGATAGACATTAGCATCCTCTCTGCCTGAGCCTTACACATGGCATACACTTGAAGGACGGGAACCTTTCCTATCCCCTCCTGGTCTTTGCAATTCTTAATCAATGGCAGGATAATCAATCGTCTCACAAATATGACCTGCCCAATCCACCTGTCTTGTTTAGCCACATGGGAGGGGTAGCTACTGTAAGGGGATGATGTTTCTAGGTATGTGTTGTTTCTTGTGACAAAATAATTGGTAGATTTGGATGGTTAGCATCTACAATTATTCTTCTAAAACATCTAGCATTAGGCCTTGATCAAATTCTCAATCCCTAGTCCCCACCTTTTATTTTTGCCAGAAGAAGGGTTCTTCTGATCTTTTCAATGTGGAATGCTTTTGTCTGAGATGGTCTCAACTGTTTTCCTGTTTAGCCATGGTCATTTTAGTGTACTTAGGTATTCCATCAACTTTATGTTGCAGCATATATGAAAAGACAATCCAAGAACACGAAACGTAAAACCCGGCAGGCAAAAGCACTTGAGAATGCAAAGAAGGCCCCAAGAACGTTCCTGGAGCTCTTACAGGAGGTAATAAGGGAAGTGCATATAATGTGTGTTCTCTATTTGTTCCTGTAATCTTGCTGACAACCTGACATGTCTCATAATTTCTTTTTGTTAAATCAGGCAAACCTAGAGTCCTTACCTTCGCATGTACCCAGTTATTTGAAGGCTGCAGTGGGACCTCCGAGTTGTACCTCACGACGCAATTTTTGTACTGTCTGTGGATACACAGCCAACTATACTTGTGTGAGGTGCGGGGTGCGTTTCTGTTCATGCCGCTGCCAGAATATTCATAATGACACTCGTTGCCTGAAATTTGTTACCTAGTTTTGCTGGGACTGGGAGACAGGTCGGGTGAGCAATCTTTAGTCAAAGATGCACATTATTCAAGACCACAAAATTGAGGTTTCTCCTCTTTTTTTGGATGTAGTTTATGAGAACCTGTAATATTCACAAGGACAAGAGATCGTGCATATCTTCTGTTTTTTGTTGTATATTTGGATGTACATAAGAGAACTCGGCGTTAAAAATGTGGTTAACTGTTGTTTTGTTGATCCACCCGGTAACCCCATATGTTTATACAAAACCCCATTTCTGTTGTCTTTTTTGCCAGGAAGAGTGTAAATACAAATATGTACAGTGCAAATTGTATTTGCACTCTTTCCATACTAAGCCTTTGTGATTTTCTTCATGACAAGGTCCATAATGCTAGTTTATTGTTATTATGTTAATGGCAATGTTAAATATATATATTTTTTGGAATGGTAAAAAAAATCTAGATTTTCTTTCAAATCGCAGATTCTACTTTTATATCAATGTATTGATATTTTTGTTTATTTAAAATAAATGTTATTCTAATTTAGCTTTTAAATTATTAAATTATTTCATTCTAATGATTTTTTCAGAACATCTATTTTTACAAACAAATCTTCAACTTCAAAATTACCAGAAGACAGAATAATGTGTAGGCACACAAACACATTCGCTCTTTTTATAAAATAAATACATCATAATTTTTATATAAAATTAAAATACTTTGATTGAAGATGTAAAAGAAATCTACCCATTTTCCTAATAGTTACAACATTATTGCATTATCTACATGTCAGTTAATTTCATTATTATGAAAGTGTAAGTGTAATTGGAACCGTGAAAGGACTTTTAGAAATTAAGGTGTGGTTTGTTTGCACTGCAATTTCATTTGCATCGATGCAAAGGTATGGGAATGTAAATGATTTCAGTGCAAATTATGATTTATGATTCATTTTATTTCAACTTGTACCTTATTTTATTTGTTTGCAGTGCAGACTAATTAAAATAAAGGGGTAAAATACAAAAACCTCGTTTGAAGTTTCTGACAATTATAAAAAAATAAAAACTTTTCTATAGTTTAACTTTAGCAAAAACCTCCATTCTATTTTCAAAAAAAATCGACATAAACCTCCCTTCCGTGAATGACCAAGACGGAAAACGTTAAACCAATGATAATTTTTTTCAAAATACATATTTTACCCCTATATGAGTTATTGTATACCTATTTTTACTAAAATATCCTTTGCCCTCTATCCTGGTTCCTCTTTCATTACACTAGTTTCATCTTTTGCCCAATGTGAAGAGGAGCATGGGTGAGGAACGAACAAGGAAGAATTGCAACCCTTTGCCCGCTTTTGCCAGCTGAAGAGTAGCAACTGAAGAGGAAAGAACCAGGAAGAGGGGCAACTGGAGAGGAACGACGAACCCAGGAAGAACGTTTTCAGTCCCACTGGAGAGGAACAATGAACCTACGAAGAAGGATTTCAATCCCCTTGAAGGACTTACGAAGCCAGGAAGAACAATTTCGACCATGTGGTTTTACCCTATATCCCTCTTCATTTTAATTCTCTAGGAATTTAGTTCATTGATATCTTTGGCTTCTCTTCTTTGTAGATGGTTCACATTTACAGACTGTTTTTTCAGGTAACAAGAGTCCTATGATCTCTAGATTCTGTTGTTTCAGCTACCGGACTCTGTGTACCCCTTTTAGTTTCACTTAGGTATGTTTGTACCAATGTGTATGGTTTTTCTTTCTAGAATGCAGTTATTTTTTGCTTTAGAAGACAACCATAGACATTGGCAAACACCTCTTTAGTGTTTGGCTGGAAGTGGTTCTGGTTCTTATTGTTTGTCCTCAGTTTGGAATTTGAATGATTTGTCTTTGCTGGGGGTTTCTTTCTGAATGTTCTTTTTCTCTTGTGGTTGGTATCACCAATCCATCATTTCCGATTCTTATAGCTACAGGTCATCAAGACAATGGGCGCTTATGGAACGGATAACAACAATTTAATCCTCATCAAGTTCCTACTCCACTACCTCAATACTGCTGTCCCAAGGAAAGGTGGAATTGGGTCCAAGTTTGAATATGGTGCACTTGTAGACACGGCTGTTTATGGGGTGATTTCGATGGGCAAAATCGCTTTCTCTTGCAGAGGGCTGTTTTGGGTATTGAGAGTGGTTTCTGGTTTGGATTTGAGTAGAGAATACAGAGTTCGGTTGGAGAGATGATTGGTGGAATAACGTCGGATGATTTACTCATCTCTGGTTATGAAGGTGGTGGTAGTGCTTATGATATGAATCTGGTCTTGAGATTGGTTAAGGTGTTTATTAATGATGGGCTGATAGTGTAGAAGATGAAAAAAGTTGATTGAGATTGGAGTATTCCGAATACTATCGCCGCTGCAAAATAAATGTCCAGTGAAGAAATCAAACTCCGGGGTGAAGACCGGTTGTCCTCCGATGAAGAACAGTTGACGGAAAATGGATGGAATATTCTGGAAAATGGAACATTCTGAGTATTATCGCCGCTGCAACTGTTAAGGTTAGGATTCAAGTGTTTTGTCAAAAGTATGGAAATTGTAATGAGTTGCTCAAGCAAGGGCAAAAATGGCATTTCACAAATAACTCAGATGATGTCCAAGGGTAATAAGGTAATTTTACACGTTTTTGATCTTGATCATTGACGGAAGGAGGCATTTGTCGATTTCTTAAAAAATAGAGGGGAGGCTTTTGCTAAAGTGAAATTATAAGGGAGGTTTTTATGATTGTCAGAAACTTCGGAGGAGGTTTTTGTATTTTACCCTAAACTAAAACCTGAACAAAGTAAAAGCTAAATCAGGAGTGGACTAGAATTTGCATTCCTGTTATTTACATTGCACCCTTTTGCATTTATACTTCAAAATTGCACTGCAAACAAACCGAACAGGGCCTAAGCTCCAGTTCCATTTGGTGGAAATCGAAGCTGGGGTTTAATTCTCGCCTTCACATCTCCAAGTTTAGAAAAAGTGGGGAAGGGACCGAAGTTTAACCTTTGGTCCTCGGTCCAGATAAATAAATTCCTAGTTTTGTCGTGTTTGGTTTGGAAGAAAAGGTAAAAAAACACCCTACCTTTCCCTACCCTTTATTTCAAACTAAACACAGCCTAAAGGTTTCTTTGGTCGAAACTGAGAAACCTCCCCTTTACATGAAAACCACAATCCAAACAGACCCTCTTCATTGATGGAGCCATGGAGAGAATAATAGAAAGCTCATTTGTCAAGTATCAACTTACAGATCAAATAACGAGCTCAAAAGCCAGCCCGAGAGAAACGAAGCAGAAATAGATTTAGCTGAATGCAATAGCTGTTCATCAGGTTGTGAAACCAATAATAATGTCCTACACCAGTTATAAAAAATACATGAGACTCACAAGCATTCAACCCCTTACTATGGGCCTCATGTATTTTATTACCGGCACAGAGCATTACCATTGGTTTCACAGCCTGCTACACAGCTAAAACATTCATCTAATCCAGATTCACACTAGAGTCCCTTTTGCATTCCAAGAGACCATATAGATCTTGAAAAGTTAGATTTCTTGGAGATTTTCTTACAAATTCGTTCTGGCCAAGCATCTATATGATCATATATGATGGAACAACATAATGTGATAAACCCAGGTTGATGTGCACTTGGCTCAGTTTGTGAAGAGTGCAAATGCAATATATACAAATTACAAATGCAAAGCCTTTCTAAATCTTGTATTTGCACTGTGTATATTTGTATTTGCATCCTAAGGATCAGTTTGGGAAGAGTGCAAATACAAATATGTACAGTACAAAACCTTATATATGGTATTTCTAAACCTTGTATTTGTATTGTATATATTTGTATTTGCATTCTTCCCGAACTGAGCCTGAAAGTGTTTTATTTAGGCCAAAATCGACAAGATTTTAGACCTCCTCCAGCCCCACCTTTTTGTTCTTCTGTGACTTGGTAAAATTGCAACCAAGAAGTTGCCCCTCACCAGTTAGTTGTATTCTGATTTCTCAGATCTCGTACTTTCTGATTTCAGAGAGAAAAGTGGGAAACCCTTCTTGGACTACATATGTAACGTAGTTACCTATTTCAGGCCTCCCTTGTTCTGTTCTTTGGAACCAGACATTGCCTAGTCATCATCACAAGCATGAATCAAATGAAGTCCATATGAATCTATGGATGGCATATCAAATGATACACCTTGAACCCCTTAGGTCATCTGTGTATTTTCATTTGGTGTTTATAGATGAATGGCATCATCCTGAGGCATTAAGAGGTAGAAAGCCTAAAAAGAAGGATTAAATGGGCAACCCGATCATGGTGATAGTTCAATGGTTCAACCATTTAATGGGCAACCCCACCATTGAAACTGTAGCCTGGACATAAATTACTGAGAAGTACTTCCTGAAGATAATAATGTCATATTGTCATCTGCATAAGAAAGCTTGTCCTAACACACCATAATCAATCTTCTCATTTGTATACCAATAAATACAAGAGTTAGATCTCACAAAACACCCAGCGGAAAAAAATAAATCTCCAAAAACACTGCTATTTTCTTCTCTTTTTAGTAGTGATTGGTTTTGTAACTAATCATTCTTGTCATCTTTCCCTACAGCTCCCAAGCTTCTTAATTTCTCATATACTACTATTATGGATGTCTTCATTGTTTTCATTTTAACAAGGGAAATTGGATTTTATCATTCTTCTAAGGGTGGCTTATCCTTTCATTCAAATTTTATTTTATGCATTTGCAACACACGCCTATGAATCAATGACAGGTACTAGTTGGTACTAGCAAAACTTGGGCCTCTTGATGGAAGAAGGGATAATCTATGATATCTGGATACCTGTACAGCATCCTATTGTGTCAGATACTTAAATTTTAGTGTAAATTCCATATTCGACACCTTACCCAAACCACACGAAATGGTTCCTAAAATAAAAGCCTGAAAATGATAAGAATGGCATCAACCCCAACATGTGAGCATATACATCAAGTCGTTAATGTACTGCATCAAAATCCTGAGGACACACCTTTAACTCCAATTCCAGTTTAACCATGTAAGGAAAATAACAACACAAAAGCAACAATCATAGTCTTCCAAGTTGCACTGGACTTTTTATCAGCTTCTACTTGCTTCAAGGTTTTCTTTTTTTTTTATTTTTTAGGAAAGATAACTGCATTTTCTAGTGCATGAGAGGATGTAGACAGATGCATAAAATGACAAAACGTGGACCAAAATCCCTTGAAAAAAGATGTTCAGGTATGGAACTGTTAATAAAAAACCCCCTCCCAATTCCCAACTTTGCTAAACCATCTGCTATTACATTCATATCCCTGGGAATCCATCTAGAGCGTCCACTCATATTGATCACAATTTCTCCAATTTTGTTTTGATAGTGGTCCAGACATCATAGACGTACACTATTTGGCCTGAGTGTTGCATTGGCCAAGTCCCCATCCATAACAAGTGAGGATATATGCACTGGCTGAGTCCAGTTCAAGAATAAGCAAGGATGGATATATGCACTGGTAGAGTCCCCTTCAACTTCAAGAACAAGCAAGGATATTGATTACATTCATATCCCTGGAAATCCATCTAAAGTGTGCACTCATATTGGTCACAATTTCTCCAATTTTGTTTTGATGATGCTCCAGCAAACCGCTGTACACTATTAGGTGCCATAGTATTGCATTGGCCAAGTCCCCTTCTATACAAGTGAGAATATATGCACTGGCTAAGTCCTGTTCAAGAACAAGCAAGGATATATGCACTGGATGAGGCCCCTTCAACTTGATGCCAACTGGCTTCAAGTTGGCCTCCAATACCAAAACTTTGAACTTAGGTAGGAAAATATCATATATGGCTCAAGAGTTGATGAAACAAGCCTGCTTTAATGTCATGTTAAAAACCTATAGCCTAACCATTAATATGATTAAAATAACTAGATACAGAAATTTAGATATACGTCATAAACTCATCTAGATGCAAAGTGAACCTAGCAAAATGTAGGTTCTGACATTAAAAGGAAAAACATAATATATTAAAAGTTCTATTTAATATGATCAAGAAGGATATATACTAAAAAAATGAAGAATATGCTGATTAAAATAAGAAAGAAAAGGAAATAGAAACACATACCATCAGAAATCCAAAGCCAAAATCAAGTTCATGCTTGTGGCAAACTGGGGCTGTATCCACCCTCTAATTGTAACTCAGAACAATATCAAAATTCAGCTACAGGTGTGTTGAAATCCCAACACAGTTCAAAAGAAAAAGAAATATTTGTGAAGTACAAATGAACCACACAAACTTCAATCTGTCTTTGCACTAATCTGTGACGAACTTGAACCGGGTTTACTGTCACAAGATTCTATTGTTGCCTGTTTAGACCCAAAGGCGCCTAGAGCCTCCAGGAAGAACTTTTTATTGGGAACAATACCATCCTTGTCCATATGCTTCAGCAATTTCTGTAGAAGTTCCTTCATGTTGGCTTTGGTATAAGCCTTATAAAGGAGTTTATATGTTGAGGCATCTGGAAGAAACCCATTACTACATGCATATTCAAACAGCTTATCTGCTTCAGAGGGCAAGCCATTGATGCAATAAACATCAAGCATGCAATTAACAGTTGAAACTTGTATATCCTTACTATTTTCCATAATCCCATCAAATATTTCTCTGGCCCTTGAAACACAGTCACAAAGTCCATAAGTAGTAATAAGACTCTCGTTTGTGACATAGCTTGGAGTATATCCCATATCTGTCATTTTTTTAAAAATGGATTCAGCCTTTTCTCTAAGCCTAGCTTTCCCATAGTTTACAATCATTGAATTGAATGTAGGCAAAGTTGGCTTATCCTTTGAGCGTAATAAGCTCTTGAAAACCTGTTCCATCTTATCAAAGGCTTGTCGCTTCCCATATGAATCTATTAGTAGATTAAATGTGATAACGTCTGGCTTACACTGGTTGCTCTTCATGCGAGAAAGAACAGACTCCATTTCTCTGATCATCCCATTTTTACCATATGCATCCATGACACCATTGAAGGTATAAACGTCAGGGGAAACACTACTGTTCTCCAGATCTTTGAACAAGGCATTGACTTGATCTACATTTCGTGCTTGAGCAAATGCTCTCAACAGAATGTTATATGTCACAATGTTAGGTTTACACCGCTCAATACCTTTCATCTTCTCAAAGTATCCAAGGGCTTTGGCTAAAGCCTTGGATTTATCTCGTGAGTGAAGATGGGCTGTGATGAGTGCATTGTACACAGAAGTGTCAGGCCTGCACCCACTGTTACGCATCTCAGAGAACAGCCACATTGCCATTCGTGTTTGGCCTTTCTTTCCCATAACAGAAATCAATTTTGAATAAACACCATTATCTGCAATGTACCAGCGTTGTTTCTGCATCCACCTGAAAACCTGGCTTGATGTCAATGGAATGATGGGTCAGCCAAGGGCGTGCCTAAAGATTTACAAATACCAGGTTTCTGTAACAGTGTCTTTTGCCATGTGTGCAAAGGGTTATAAATTTAGTAAAACCTAAACCATTAACACTCAGGAAGCATAATAATGAAGATAGTCAGGATCATCAAATGAAGGCAATTTTAGCTGAATTAGTCTTACTGATGAGACACTTGAAATGCGAGTCTCTTCTAAATTCAAAAACAGATTCTTCACATGCTATACGCCTATGTTAGTGTAATGGATTACCACTTTATCTAATAGTAAGAACTGTCCATGGTTAATTGGCATATATCTAATAATAAGAGAAAAAATACATACTTTTTGACTTTCTATCATGAAAAGTATGCATATACAGGAAGCATTATGTATGAAAGAGGTAATAAGTGAGATAACCAACCAATCAACCAAGTCCATGACGATAGAAACCTCATAACTGAAAGAAGAAAACTATAAACCACTCAAAGATCACAAGCCAGAGAAGCTATTGAGCTAATATGATATTTAGGAATTGAACAAACGTATCCAAACCACAATCCTGATTCAAGGAAACATTCCAAACATACAATGGAAAAAACCAAGAAATGAGTTGCGGAATATTTTTATATTAAAAAATCCCAGAAAATAGAACACCCAGAGAAGTTAATATAAATGAAGTAGAATTCTTATTAAAGAAAGGGATTGAGAAATCCGAACCTCAAGGCATTGAAGCCATCTATCTCTCTTTCCGAGTTCTTCAAACAGAAGAAAGCAATGTTCGGTTCTAACGAGCTTAACATACTTGTTCAACGTTGAAACTAACGGCTTCTGATCGCTGAAATTCCTCAAAAGAAAACGAACGAGTTCTCCTGCTTCCGACTTATCGCTCTTCGAAGCAAATCTCTTCTTCGGTCGAGTTGCAATACAGGAAATTCGGTGAATGGGTTTCAATGAAAATCTCTGTGGAGGACATGGGTATGCTTGTTTGAGCTTGGAAATGGAGGATTCTCGAAATTGGAGAGGAAACGGAGTAACAGAAGAGAGTTGCAGAGACAGGGCTGTTAGATTTTGATGCATTCTAGTGGGATTTCAATGAACTTGGAGAAATGGGTCATGGGTTTCCAAAATTGTGATTTGATGGGGTTTGAGGGGATAAATCAGACATGTAAGCTGGGTAAGGATTGACAGGAGAAATCTATGTACAAGGGATAAATTACAGAATTTCCCTTCGGTCTTGGTAAATTAACAGCTTCATTTATAAAAGGATGGAGAAGCTCAAGTTCTACACTCTACTCTATCTGATATGATATTTGCCCATGCGCAACTTGACAACTTCTTCCCCCGCCTCCACCCGATGAACCGGGTGTTTTGGTTGAAAAAATAGGTGAAACGGTAAAACCAGGAATTTGAACCGCCAGAAGACCACGGATCCTTTAAAAACAAAAACGGTAAAACGGTATTTTGGCCTTTAAAAACAAAAAAGTTTATTTTTGCTTTTGGGCGAAGGTGGAAAAAGAACAACCAGGGATTTGAACCCGACGTGAATCGAACACGCAACCTTCTGATCTGGAGTCAGACGCGCTACCATTGCGCCACGGATCCACTTAATAATTACTTTTGCTACTACAAAATGACCAAAAGTTTCACCCCTCTTTTTTGGGCGACGGTGGGAAAAAAGATAAAGGAATTTGAACCCGACGTGAATCGAACACGCAACCTTATGATCTGGAGTCAGACGCGCTACCATTGAGCCACGGATCCACTTGATTGTATAAATTCTGACTCCTAATAGACAAATTATCATCAAAGTTTAGAATAGGTGAAAACCGAACCGGGAATTTGAACCCGACGTGAACGGTGCACACAACCTTTTGATATGGAGTCAAACGCGCTACCATTGTGCCACGTGTCACGTATAACATTTATATGATGCTCAAATCAATTATATACTAGTTGTGAGCTCCAAGAAGCTCATGACCAATTAAAAGAGATGGAATCACCACCCATTTCTTAGAGGAAATGGGCCCTCATTTTTTTATTCAAAAAACAGTTTAATTGTCTTGATAGTGATTTCATTCTTTGTCAAGGAGAGGCACTGAACCAAAAGGCTTTGGATTCCAAAGATTGGGAGAGAGAAGGTGTTAGACACCCCTCTCCCCAAGTTGCTATAGTAGCCCACTACGGGAGTAATTCAAGCTCAAATTTTGACAAAACACAAACTAATAACATTGCTCAAAGCTCCTGAAATCTGGCGAAAATGTTTCCAACTTCGTCTATAATTGATTTGAGATGATGTTATCGGGTCTTAGGTACTAGTTTCCCTAAGACCCTTGCCCCTCTACCTCTTTTTCTCAATTTGGAGGAAGCTGGGAATGCAAGTTTCCCAAGATTTTAGGGCTTTATGCAACCCAAAACTAAACTAAAAGCAAAGATACAATAGAATGAGAGGCTTACCTCTTGCGTACGACCTTGAAACAATCTTTCCAATAGCTGAAAGGACTTTAAATGAAACAGGAACTAGGCATGAGCTAGGCTAGGCGTTTTTGGTGTTGAAACTGGAAAACAAGGGATGAGGTTTGAGCTTGGCTTTAAGGATTCTGGGGTTTCAAGCAAACTGAGTGTGTTACAGGAGTTGGGAAACTCTCCTCCTCTCTTCAAGTTCGAGCTAGGCCTCTATTTATAGAGAAAAATGGAAGGAGATGGGTCTGAAACTCGTCCAACTACAATATTTGTAGCTCAACAGAGTTTTTTCACCAAAATATGCAAGGATTTTGAGATAGAGGGGCTTGTAGTTGACCTTTCCTTCTTTGTGCAACAAATCTTCTTAATTTTGGGTGGTTTCTTATGGGTTTCGTACATCCAATGAGGGATTGGGGCGTGCCAGATGTTGCAGCCCTATATTTGGGGCTGATAGTGGCAAAAAACATAAATTTGAAGAACTTTTAAATGTTATTTTGTCTTTTAATGATTTTAAGTAGGGGCCTGTTTGGCATTTTGAGCCTTTTAAGCCTATTAGGATCAAATTCATTGGTCCAAGTGTTTTAATGGGTTAAATAAAGAACTGACGTCAGTCCCCACCCACTTAAGATCCTAGGTTGGACAGCTGATGTGGTGGTTCAAGTGGGTGCGTCAAAAAGGTATCTTTCTAGTTTAACGGTCAAACGAATGAATTCGGTAATGAAATTTGGTGCGTTGGGGTTTTTTGAGTCTTTGAACACAGTGATGAGGTCTTCTGATTAGACAAACGGGGTCGGGAAGATTGAGATCTGTGGCTGACAAGTTCGGATCAATAAGATTTACTAAAATATAATCTTTGTTTGATGAAGGGTCAAATGGGATAATTTTGGAATTAAATTTGGATGGGTAGGCATTTTCAAACATTCCGAATATGATGGAAGTGATGGATCTTTGATCAAAGGTGTGGATTAACTGATTTAGTTCAGATCATGGTCTTAGTTTATAGTTATTCAATCAATGAAAAGGCTCAGAATATAATCTTACTTTTTCAATGGTCAAATGGAAGTGTTTGGTCGTGAAATTTGATGTGTTGGGGCTTTTTGGGTCTCTGAACATGGTGGTACGGTCTGATTGGTCAAAGAAGGTTTGGATGATGGAATTTGTGATAGGTGAGCTTTTAATCAATAAGATTCGCCAAAACAGAATCAAGGCTTGATGTTAAGTCAAATGAGGGAATTTTGGGACAAAATTTGGTGGGTAGGTATGGATCGGAATTATGGGGATTTTGGAAGGGTTTGATTGTGTTAGGTATGTACAGATCACGGGTTTTAAGTTCAAGGAGCGTCATAGTGTTGAACACGTCGAAATGGAATCTCTAATGTATGTTGGCTAAATCCAGGAATTTAAGGTTGAAATCTTGTGTGATTGTTTCTTTGAGGGTTTTGTTTCACGTGATGGATTTTGATTATGGATCAGATATGGTGATGTGGCATAATCAAGACCATCAAAAGGGAATCAAGTAGATTTAACGGTGGATTTATGGGCATTTGGGCTAAAATTTGATTTCTTAGGGTTTTGGCATGTTGTAAAGTGATTGGTGTGGTCAGATTGAGCATCTGGAATGTAGGAGATGGGTCAAAGAAGGGACCGAGCAAAAATCGGATGCTAACACTAGTGAATGACCTCGTACTAAGTACGAGGAATTGGTAATGTTAAATTTACATTATTGAATCAATAATGTTAAATTTATATTTATTAATATTTTAAATAATTATTAAAATTTCAAGAAATAGCTTTTCAATAATTATTAGAATATGGATTGAAAGTGGTTATGGATAACCATTTTTGCATTTTTTGTATCTTTAGGAATGGATTGAAAATGGTGGTAGTGGGTTGTGAGCTTTAGCAGCAACTTCTCAAAAAATGCCATATGTCTAGCTTTCTAGAAAAATGAGAAGGCCATGTGTTTGAATGGTGGGGGACTATAGCCTGGTAATAGGCTATGGACTTTAGCAGGAATTTCTTTGAAATTACCACATGTCTAGCTTTCTTGAAAATGAAAAGGCTGAAAGAATGGTAGGATCCATCTAATGGACGCCATAAAGGTTGCGGAATGGGTGGGGCGAATTTCAAAAATTTCCTACCTTCTCCCAACTGGGAATCATATTCCCTGAATTTAGAATACAATATTCAAGGATCTACTTGAACC